AATTGGCATTTCTCTAATGACTAATGATGATGAACATTTTTTCATGTATTTGTTTGCCGGTTATATTTCTTTATCTGAGAATTGTGTATTCATTTCACATGCTCTTTTTTGAATTGGGTCTTTGAATTTTGGGGGTCTGATTTTTTTTTAAATTCTTAATATGTTTTAGATAGAAGTCCTTTTTCTGTGGGGCAGGTCACTGATTTTTTTCCCAGTTTGTGGGTTTTCTTTTCACTATGCTGGAGAATTCTTTTGATGTGCAGAAACTTTTTGATAAGAGATGATCCCAGTTATTGATTCGGGAAATATTTCCCGTGCAGTTGGAGTCCTGTTCATGAATTTTCTCCCTATTCCTATGTCTTCAAGGTTATTGCCCAATTTGTCTTCCAATTGATTTAGTGTTTCTGGCCCAGGTAGAATGGTGATCAGAGAGAATGCAAGAATAGAATAAGTGCTAGGGGGGTTACTGGTGAAAAAGGGACTCTTACACACTGCTGATGAAAGAACTGAGTACAGTCATTCTGGAAATTGTTATGGAGGATCCTCAAAAAACTAAAAATAGATCAGAGAGAGCATATGGTCCAGGTGTGCTTTAATATATATAAAAATGTATTTTTATGTATGAAAATATCTTTAACTTTTTTATCAGTACATGTTTGCAGTATACAACGTTGACATTTGCTATGATTTCTTGTTCTACTGAGGACCTATTCAAATCCTTTTTCTTAGTGCCTACAACTTTCTTTTATTAGTCTCAAAGCTGAAGTCTTATACACAGGTGTTTGACCCATTATGAATTGATTTTCCTACATGCTGAGACCTAGGGGTGTAGTTTTAGTCTTCAGCATATGGATGTAGTTTTACCAGCACCACTTCCTAAGAATCCTGTTTACTCTTAAGCATGTATTTTCAGCCCTTTCATCAAGAATCTGGTAGCTGTAGTTGAATGTTTTTTTTTCCTGTGTTCTCCATTCTGTTCCAATTTCTAGATGTTTATTTTTTATGTGAAAATAATGCAGTTTGGGAAATGATGGCTTTGAAGTATAACTTGAAATCAGTTATTGAATGATACTTCAAGCCTTGTTCTTTCAACTTAGGGCTACTTTGCTATTCTTCCTTTTATGTTTCTACATGAATTCTGAGATATTTTTCTGGTCCTATGAAGAATGCCATTGGAACGTTGATGGGGATTGCACTGAAGCTTAGCAAGGCTTTCAGCATTGTGGTCACTTTAACAATATTCATTCTATCAGTCCATTAGCATGGGTGGTTTTTAAATCTCCTGTGGTCTGCTTCAGTTTTTCATTGTTCATTGCAGTTTAAGCTAAGCATTGTATATAACAAAATCCAGGACACTTAAAGAGTTGGACACTGAGAACTGGGATCATGGTATGGATATTTTTCAGATTGGGTAGATATGCCTCAAATACTAAAGCCTCTGACCCTGCAGAAATGACCCTCTTACCACTCTAGAAAACAAAAGTCTTCCTTACCTAGACCAGAGCACTAAAGAGATCAGAAGTTGTATATCCAAAACAGTTATGCCACCGGTGTGGTATGATGTGGCTGGTGTGTGCCATGGCTTGGCTAGCATTCAGAGTTCTGCATCTTGGAGTGGGAACTAAGTACCAAAGAATGTATAGACCTGGCACAAGCTGAAAGCATCAGGAATTAGTTTACAGGACAAAAAACTACACAAGCTGATCACTAGTACACTAGAAGTGCAGCTGAGAGAGAGCTACAAAAAAGCCCTCAACATCCATTTTTTAGTTGACTTTAAACATTACTGACTTTGGAGGTTACAAAGCTGATCAATTGATTATTAATCATTTACCAATTTTCCCATGCAGCACCAGAGGGGTTGAAAACGGTCCTGTGAAAGCTGCATTTCACTCTCCTCTCCTGCAGAATTGACTTTCCCATTGTCTTCCCTTGCTTTCTGATGGGGCAATTGTCATATTCCCTTGCTGTGGAGAGCAGTTGCATTGTGTTGTCTTTCTGTGTTTTCTGTGTTAGACACCTTTGCCATTCTAATGATCAACTGCAGAGGAGCTCTGCAGTTGAAAAAGAGAATTAAGTGAGTGATAAGACTTCACAACGCTTTCTAACAAGTAACTTCTCTTTAGATGTTTGGAATCTAAAGTGCGCGGTGACCTCCAGTAGTAGCAACTATCATCAGAAACGCACACCACCTGGGCTTTTTAACTATCCCAAGATCAGCACACCCTTGATATGCCACCTCTAAAATCCCTACAAAATCCTGGTCCCTGCAACCTCTAAGCAAGACAGTTATTTGAAGAACAAGAGTCTCATGTACTGCCTTCCTGGTATGTTGTCAAAAAGCTTTTCCGGCCCTATCTTTATATGTCTTGAAATTTTGGCAGCAATAAGACTGAACCTTTCGCAGTTGTGGTGGGTTGGCTTGGAAAAATGAGAATGCATTTTAAGTGAGGTGAAGCTGCTATAGCTGCCATGGGAGATGTTGAGGAAGGTGCTCAGAGGCTCAGAGATGTGGAGCAGCTTCAGATGCTTCACTATGAAAGACCAAAGAAGGTATCCAATGACTGTGTTCCCCGAGAAGACCCAACCAATGTTACTAACTATATTAATGAAATTAAAAATACCACTGAGAGTGACACCAGCCTATGGAGAAGGTCAGTAGCATAAGCTGCTTGGATGGATCTCAGCTTCTTACAGTCAGTAGGAATAGTAGACTCCAGAACACTTGAGTTGTGAAACTAAAACCACCACAAAAGCATGAAGCTTGCAGCAGAGTTCTTTCCTCCACTTCCTAATTCAGCAGTTTGACCACTGAAGATGCATCTTGGCTTCAGAAGATGTTGAAGGATGCCTCAAGTTCAGTCCTCATTAGCTTCAGTGGGGACACTTTACCACACATGGGATCAGGTATAAAGTCTCTGAAACATACCTACACTTAGTAGTTTAGGAGAAGTTTTCTTTTCTATTCTTGCTGAAAAAGAGAATTAGAAAAATTTACATTCAAGTAAACTGAACAATTTTCATTTGCTATTTTGTCTCCAGGCTGGGTTAACCCTCTTACCATTCTTTATGATATAGTCTGCAGAAAAATAGCCAGTTATGCATACCTTGCAACACTAGACACACCCTTTGCAGAAAGACAACATAAACCAGGTGCTGAAGCAGTTGCTAAGTTACTGAGGACCTTGGTGAAAGATGTGTAAAAGAATGAGGAACTGTATTAATATGTGTTAGGACTTTGACACTTGGGAAGCTTTCAGAGGTCAAATGTAAAAAATTACCTTGTCAAGATTTTTTTTGCTGTCTTAATGTTTTATTATTCACACTATTTGCACTGACAAATTGAGCCTTGGGCATCTTTCCAACAGCATGGACACTCCTATACGAAGCGCATTTTATTCATTACATACATCTCTCCCACTTTAAATATGGGACCTGTGATTTTCATTGATGTATATCTTTGTTTTTGTTAACCTAGGTTATATAGACTTTATATAGCTACCATTACATAAATTAGATCTCTCTAGGTTCACTCCTGAATGCCTTGTTCATGCTTCACATTTACAACAAAACACTTCAGAAAAACAATGTTCTTTTTTTTTCTAATATTACATACTTCTGTTATTTTTGTTTTCTTTTACATTCTAAAGAATGCTGACACATATGTATTGCTAATGTATTATCATTTATAATTCTGTGCTCTGAATTTATAAAGGAGGAATTTTGGAATGAAACTTTGGGACTGAGTGTGGATTAATAGAGTTTAGATAAAGTGTACCAAGACACACTCAGATAAAAAGAATAATCCCTGGTTGCAAACATAGCAGGTGACCATCATTCACAAAATCATATTATATGAAGATCTAAATGAGAAAAGCATGTACATGTACCAAATACCTCTAGTGTAATCACTGCGTGCCACAACATAAACTAATATTCATAATAAATAATAAAAAATACTGATAAAATTTAGGAACCTAAAAAAAGATGCTGAGAAGACCACTGTGGGAGGAAAGCAAGAACAGAGAATCAAGATACATTAAGTTTCTGCCTCTACTTCTTGAAATGAATATCAACATTGAGCCATAAAAATGTTCTGACATAAATAAAAAAAATAGAGCAAGTTGAAGGCTTCAAACAAAAATAAAAGACCAGGAAAGGGAAAAGCTGAAACACTGTGATTTTAATCTGTGTATGCACTTATGCATATGTCAAAATATCACATTAAATACCATTACCATGCACAATTAATATACCATATTACATAATGAGAGAAACCATATAAATGTGATGCTGTAAATGGAAATCATCCCAATGCTAATAAAAATAGAGCCATTCATGTGACCAGCGGAAAATGAATGTGCATACATAAGTAAAACTCTCATCATGCTTTAAAGTCTATGGGGGTACGGTCTATGATGACAGGTACAGCACTGGCACTTTCATTTTACCTCATTGACTTGACTTGACCAATATGAGGTTAGATGTTTTTTCCAAGTAGTTTTGGAAATTAGCATTCCTGTCATTGTCAGTGCCTGGACATTTGTTGACACATTTATCAATAGTATCTACATTTTGCTGTGAATTTGTGGTTGCTCTTACAGACAGAGGAGAGCATCTCATTGTTGGCACATGAACATAAATATTTCTTACTTGTTATTTTACTGTTAAAATTATTTATACTACTTTGTTCTTTGTATGTAATTTTCTGTTTCCAAGTGAGAATAAAAAAATTCAGACTCTCAATTGTGCAAATATTCACCTACATTTGCTTCTAATATAATTTTCTGTTTACCCTTTTAATCTGTTTCCTCTATATTGGTTTGAAATACACATATGTCACAGAGAACAAAACAGAGGCAGACAAATCTTTAAGTAGTTCTATATTTCCCAGTTATTCTGTGAACAGGCAGCACCAAGACTTACCTTAAAGCTCTGACTCAGACTCTCTTTACTGTGTATTTTGCCCCATCAGCAGTGATACAGAAACAGATATTTCCTCACCCACCAGTCAGAAAGTGCTTCCTTTCTACCTTTCTCTTAAATGCCTCTTTCACCTCCTTGTTCCTCAAGCTGTAGATGAGGGGATTCAACCCAGGGATGACCATGGTATAGAACACAGAAATAACTTTATTGGTATTCAGAGATGAGCCTGAGCTAGGTCGGACATAGGTGAAGAAAAGTGTCCCATACAAGACTGAGACGGTGGTCAGGTGAGAGGAACATGTGGAGAAAACCTTCCACCTGCCCTGGGCAGTCTGGATCTTCAGGATGGCCACTGTGATGCACACATAGGACACTGTGATGATTACACCGCTGAGCACTCCTAAAGCTCCAGCCAAGACATAAAGCAACAGATTATTGATCCAAGTGTCAACACATGCTAGAGAAAGCAATGGGGAAATATCACAGAAAAAGTGATTGATTGTGTTTGGACCACAGAAGGGTAAGGAAAATGTCAACACTGTATGGGTCATGGTGTTTATAAGAGCTATGGCATAGGACCCCATCACCAACTGCACACAGACCCGCGGGGACATGACGAGTGTATACAGCAGGGGCTTACACACGGCGGTGTACCGATCATAGGCCATGGCAGCCAGGAGAAGACATTCTGTTGTCACAAAGAGACCAAGGAACCACATCTGTGCAGCACAGCCCACAAAAGAGATGCTCTTCTTCTCTACAAAGATATGGCACAGCGTCTTGGGGGCGATGGAGGAAGAGAAGCAAATGTCTACAAAGGACAAGTGGCTAAGGAAAAAGTACATAGGATTGTGGAGTCTGGAATCAAGCCATATGAGAGTGATCATCCCCAAATTACTGCCCAGTGTGATGAGATAAACAGAGAGAAGCAGGAAGAAAATGGTGATCTTCTGATGGAGGTGACTTGTGAGGCCCAGGAGGACAAACTCCGCCACAGCTGTCCAGTTCTTCCCTTCCATCAGGGTTGCTGGGAATCTGTCACAAAAATGAAGATAATTATTTCATTACAAAACACAACTAGGAACTTCTATAGATAGTATGCAAAACTAGGACAAATTGCTTAAGCGCTTCTATGAAAGACAATTTTAAAATCTTTTTGAGCTGATAGTTTAGATAGGATCCCTACTTAGTAGGTCTGTTTTAATTTTGAGGAACTTAGCACTGATCTCAGGGTCCAAATAAATTCTCCAAATATGTGATCTAAAACTTGTTCTTGTTGTAAGATTATTTTAACAGGCAATCACCATTCATGACTCATCTTACAGTATGAAGGGAAAATGAAAATCACTTGAGATTATGTTTGGAGGGGAAAACAGTAAGGTAATGAATGTCCATGTCCTCATACTAGACAAGGAAAACCTAAACAAGGGACAACTGTGCCTACTCAAGTATCCAAATGTCATGATGTTCCTAAGACACAATGTTCCAGGATGTACTGCCTGCTCTCTTTATAAAGGGGTCTGCAAATGACCAAATGCACACTGGAAAAAAGTTTCTCACTCTTAAGAGTAGAGCAAATGATAGTTTTTAATGTTCATAAAGAAATGTCCTCTGAGAGAACAAGATTCACTCTATGGTAAATGTGAAGTAAAATGGGGACCTGTAAAAGAATTATAAGATCAGAGGACTGAGTAGAAAAGAAGGAAAGTCACAATTTCCCCACAGCATAATTCCAGTAAAAGAATATGAATCAAGGAGAGGACATCAGATGCCTGCCTTAATGCTCAGGCAGCAACCTGTGATGAAAATTAGACAGAAAATTGAATTTGCCAGAGCTAAAAACAGATTTATTTTACAAGATGTCATGGATTGTATGGAAACAATACTTAAGAAATTTATTTTGAATTCATAATAATAGGCACAGGAAACTTCAAATGTATACAATATAACACAGTAAAAACCCTCAAGAAAATATTTTAAGTGATTCATTAGTCAGATGAAAAAAGATAAAAATTCTCTTTAAAGTGACTAAAAGATGATGATTTTGTAAGATAAGTAATAAGAAAATATCTGGTTTGCACAACATAATCAATGAACAGCCTTTGGAAATAAAAGCAGTACCAATTCAAGATATAATAATCATTTTAGAATCTAGGTCTATAATATTTTCAAACAACATAATGTTTCTGTCATCTATATTTATCCATATATTATCCCTATAATGATTGCTTGCTTAATGTTATATGGAGTATATTGTCAACAATCACAGGGACAATACATTCTCCTGTTTTATTATGAACATTAAATCGTGTCAGAAATATTTTGCTCATATTTATCCAAATATCGCTGCATATATGTTTGGAGAAAAGAAAGGTGCTGCAGACTAGTTTCATATTTAGTCCAATAAATATTTGCTTATTTATTTAATTTATGCCATATTGAACCTTTTCTAAATTGAAAAGGATGAATGCTATGCCTCTCCAAAATCTAACATTTTTCAATTTTATAACTCTTAAGGATACCATCTCTCTTTTCAAAGAATTATTTCTCTTTTTATAGACAAAACTTATGTATATGTATAGATATATATTAGTAAAGTATGATATGTTTTGAAATATATGTGCGTTGCAAAATGGGAAACTTAAACTTACTTGACATACTTTTTGAAGTGAAAACACTTAAAATTATCAGTAGCCAAGACTACAGTTCATTGACATTATCATTTTTTATTTAATAACACACAATGCATTTCAGAAAAAAATGTTTCATACCAGTTCTTTACTCTGAAGATGTAAATAAAACACTGAATTCTCTGCTTCCAGAGAATCGGAGCTGTGAGGTCCCAGTCCCAAAGTTCAAAGTCTCTGCTATATTTCTAAATGTTCACATGCCCCAAAGTACAGCATACTCACTTCTGGAAGGAGATCCTTTTTATTTTCCTTGACTCCATCACAGCAAGTCATCACTGTCTAGAAGTAAGAATGGAAGCGTCAGGTCTCTGCATGGTGGTGGCCTTGCCAACACCCATGGTGAGGAAGACAAAGCCCAATCTTGAGGAACCTGTGTACAAAGGTGCCGTGTTTGACCTGCAGATTGATTTACACATGGGGCAGAATAATGGATGCTGTCTTTAGGGATTTCAACAGTGTAGAGCCAGGTCCCCAAAGAACTGAATCCTCAGGGATTTCCACCTGAAGGGACAAAATTTAAATCATCCTAATTATATAACTCTCAATTTCTCTATCTTATCTGAAAAAATAAGCTTTTTAGAGTAGTAACTTACGTGTATCAGTTAAAATCTATGGAATGGGCAGCCAACACTAGCTGAAATGAAGGAGAATGACCATGAGTTTTGGAACTGCATCAGTAGGCATAAATCCCAGTTCCACAGTTTACTGATGCTCCAATTTCACCATCTTCTAAGACTAGCTATTGCTCATTCCCTTAATCTCTAAAATAAATAATGATTACTGGCTCACATTGATGTTACCAAGATTTATTGAAGGTATTATCTCAATATTAAAGTGTTTAATAAAGTGTTTATTTAAAACATTTATAAGAGCATTCAACACAGAGTAGTTTCTACTAACATTTATCAACACTAGGGCTCTAGACCATAGTGGGAGAATAATCCATACATATAAAAATCAAAGAGCAGTTCCAACCAGCAGTCCAAATAGGTAAAACTACAAAGTAGTAATTGAGTTCTGAAGAAAGCCAGAGTAGATGAAAAATTTTCTCAAGTAGAAATGTTAAGAAAGGTGAGTGCAATTTTAAAAAATAATAATGTTAAGAGCAAAACTATTCCAAGAAGTGTTAATAACATGAACCAAAAAAGTTGCAAAGAACTAAAGATATTGTTCAAATGGGGAATCACACAAGAGAGAAGAAATCCTGGAGCTGAATAATGTAGGCTCAGCCATCTCAGCTGTGAGCTTCATCATTTAGCCCATCAAGAAGAGCTGACGTGACATTCTATCAACTCTCACATTTCACCAGTAGCTCATTTATAACTCCATAAGTATGTATCTCAGGAAATGAGAACCCTCATTGCAGTTATATTAACATCAGATAAATAGATGTTAAAGAAATTTACAAAGATAAAGAATATAAGCCCATAATGAAAGTAACGTCCAATTATCAAAAAACAATGTAGCATTTTCAAAATTTAGGAACCTAAAAGAAGATCTGCAAAATAGACAAAACAAAGACTGCCTGTCTCCGAAGATTAATGAGAGTGGAACATTTAATACTATTCTGTCAATAATGACAAAGCACAAGTAGACAAAGTGTGAGTGAATTTACAGGAAAGGAAGACATTATGAACAAAAAAATGGTATTTACAGAATACCTGACTGACAACACTCACACTGCAGAGAAACTGTCAAATGTTAGCAATGTGTTTGCTCATTCTGTTCATGCTAAATACATAAAAGGACACACACCATGAGTAAAGCTCAAGAATATAAGAAAAGTACAAAACTCTTCAGAGATCCTGGTTCTTTTTAAGGAAGGCTTTGACAGTTCCTCTCAATTCTCAAGCTCTTTTTTGTTGGTAACACTTTAATGACATTTTAACTTTCAGCAACTAATATTCCATCATTCAAAACGTTCACATCTTCTTGATTCAGCTGTAGGAATTGACAGCAATCTAGGATTCTGTCCATTCCCTCTGTATTTTCAAACTTATGGGAGGAAAGATTATCAGAATAGGTGTTGATGATCTTCTGAACATCCACAGCATCTGTAGTAATTTCATTCCTTTCTTTCCTAATTGTAGGAATTTGCATTCTTTGTTTCCTTTTCTTGATAAAGATGGCTTGGGCATGATCAATTGTGTTTACTCTTTCAATGAAACAACTATTCAACTGTTAGTCCTTTGTATTGTTTTCTTAGTCTCAATTTTATTCATTACTTATCTGATCTTTATAATTTCATCCCTTCTATCAACTTTGATCTTGACTTCTTCATTTTCCTAGAAGCTTGAAGCACCAGCATTATGTTGCTTAGCTGTGCTCATTTTGTCTTCCTGATGTGAGAATTCATTGCTTTATATTTCCCTTTTAGTATTAATTTCATTGCATCCATAGTGTCTAATTTTGGCTTTTACTTTCTCTATGAGCCATTCTTTTTCAGGAGGGTGTTTTTTAACTTCCATATGTTTATGTATGTTTTGCAGTTTCTTCTGTCATCTATTTTCAACTCCAATACACAATGATCAGTTAATATGCACAGAAAAATTTCAGTCCCTTTGCATTTATGTAAGCATGTTCTACGGGCAAATATTTGCTCTATTTTAGAGAATATGCCATATGTAGCTGAGAAGAAAGTATATTCTGATATTGTTGGGTGGAATCCCCTTTAAACATTCAGTCAGCCCATCCATTCATAGGTTTGTTTTAGTTCTTTTTTCATGACTTTTTGTCTAGTTGGTCTCCCTTTTGGGGAAAATGGGTTTCTTGTTATATTAAGGTTTCTTGTTATAATCGTGATATTCATATTCAGTTTTGATTTTTTACATCTATTAGCATTTGTCTCATATAGTTGACTGCTCCTGTATTTGGTGCAAATATATTTATGGTTTTTATCTCTCCTATAGAGTTTTTACCCTAACAAATATATAGTGAATTTCTTTATCTGCCTTGATAATTTTTGCAAACATGTTAACTACTCCTGCTTGTTTCTGGTTTGTGTCCCATGGAATATTGCTTTCCTTCCTTTGAATTTCAGTCTATGAGTTTCCTTTTTTTTTAAATTTTTATTTAAGGAGGAAAAAAAAGCACAGAAAGGGTACAAGTTATACAGATTTACAGAAAAAAATAAACAGTAGGAAATCACTAGTTAATGGATTACATATTGTCATCTTAGAAATAATTGTTCAAGTCACAAAATTAAAGCTTGTAAAGTGGACATTCCAACAATGATACTGCAAACATTTCTGTTCAATGATCCAATAAAACTCAGTGATATCATTTTCTATATTATACACTTAAATATACATGCAGTTATATCATTTAGA